TCGTCGAAGTTGCTGTATCTGGAAATCTTTCCATGAGTGGCGAACCGCAAGAGAACAATCTGGCAGCCGAGATGAAGGACCGTGTCTCGCAGAAAAGCCCCGCTCCACAAAAGCCCCGTATTAGACAACGCGCTTCTGAAGCAGGCAGAACAAGAGCTGCGTCTGTTGAAGCCGGGACCTCGGGAGAGGAATCGCGACCAAAGAACCGACACGACCAAGGAAGGCAACGCTATGTTCAGCAACGCTATGTTCAAGGCGCCAATGCTCTCTGTCAGAGGATTATTCTGGAGTTGATTCAGGAAACATCAGGGGTAGTGCCAAACGATCCTTCGGCACTGAGACGTATCTCGTTGCCTCGCTGGCAAGAGGCTGGAGAAAAAGGTCGGCCCGGGCTCAAGACCATCAAAGCAGCAATCAAGTCTTTAAACGAGTCTCGAAGACTAAAGCAGGTCATGTTCGCATTCCGAGGAAAGTCTGGAACCATGGTTAAACGTTCGGTCATCTTTCTGCCACACATTGACAGTTCATCGCAGTCAGTCGAGGACGTGAAGCAGAAGATTATCAACGCGGAACCCACTGATTATATTCCCCCCGAGTGGAAAGATGAAGGCTACCGTATTCCCCTTGTCAGTAAAAGGGCTCCAACTAGGACACCTGAGGCTGCAGAACGGCCACCGAGGAGCCGACGTGCATCGTCGGCGGTAACAGACGGAACTATCGCCTCCACTATTACCAGGAGTGCTGGAAGCCGCACAAGGACAACCACACCCTCTCTACTACCGGTTCCACAGGGCCCTGCAACCAGTTTCCTCACATTGAAGGTTCCGTCGCTGGGCTCGCTTTCAGTTGTGCATCTCCATGAGTGGAGGAATGAATGTCCCGTGACCGCATTGCGCTCCGATGCTTCCGATGCGAATCCTTGGAGATCTAGTGCCTTTCTACTATTTCGGCGCCGGCGAAGGTTTGAAGAGCCACGCACTCAGGCAGCCGGTAGAACAATCATGTGGCGGAATTTCCCTTCCTCCTTGCAGGATATCCTGCAGCGTCCCAATCTCAAGTTGGACTATGATGCGTTTCAAGCTGACGATGTCGACTGGCAACGCTTTGCCTGCGAGGTTGAAGGGGTTCGTGCCTGGGAAGAACAGGAACCGGACACGGCTCAGTCAAAGCGCTCTAAATTCGCCTTCATCAATCATTTGGTCCCAAATGCATTGTATGCGCAGACAGTTCTTCCCTTAACAGTCGAGTTTAAAAGTCTTGTGCAATTCGATGAGGATGGAACCGAGCTTGAGATTGCTTATCCGCCTGTTGAATCATGGCCAGCATTTGTGCTCGCCATAAATGCATCGCCCGGCATCACTTCCCGAATTGCAGCAGTCGACGAGGCAGACTTGCACTTGATGCCGCCACCTTCCCCTGGACTAGGCCCTCGACGATCAAACAGAGGGACTAAGCGCAAACTCTCTGAACATGGCCATGGCTTCTTCCTGCAACCTTCGTCTAAACGGCGCAGGAAAGGCGTAAGAGGCTCCGCAGCTACTCCTTCAAGGCGTAGGGCAGTTTCGGCTTTCAATGCCGCAATCCACAAGGTCCCCCGAAGTGCGAGGTGGCTGCATACTATGCCAGAAGAGATGATTTCCCGAATTGCGGTTGCTGTCATTGTCGTTCGGACGTTAGCAGGCGGTATTGAAAGCTTCATCAACTGGCAAGTTGTCATGACGCTCTTCCCCAATCAAAAGGAAGAGGTTATCAAAGCTCGCTGGAATACGCTCTCAAACAGATACAGTTCGGATATACAGAGTCTTACGGAGGACCTGCAGTCGAAGTACTTGAAAGCACTACAAGCGGGCGAGGTATCGTCTGTCTCCTTCGAGGGCGTCGACGCCACGGACTGGGGTGCCATTGTTGAGTGGGCATTGAAGAGCCTCGACCATTTTAATTTGAAGCGGATTGCAGACCTTCCAGCTAATCGGGATGAGCTGCTCAACACCTATGCCTTGGAATTCACTCAACCCAAATGTTTCCACAATGTCATATGGAATAACACCACGATGAATGTCAAAGAGGATGTCGCAAGGTGCTCAGTTTTCGGCACATATCCCCATTCTTCAATGCAGGCCGGGAACCTTCGGTATCAACATGGCTTCGAGCTTGAGATGGCCAAACCAGACCTTCGGCTTGCTAAATCATGGGTGCTCGCGACCGTTTTCACTCCAGAATCCGTTTTTAACCCAGAATTGGCCCAAGCCAAACTGTCGACCCTTGCCTCAAGTCCAATGGAATGTGACGTGCTCCTTTCCCGTGCACTAAAGGTGCTGCAGGAGGAGAAAATCATTCAGCGTAGACTCAATGATCGTCCATCGGAGCAAGGACCGAGTATTCGCACTTGGGAAGCTCACCGAAAGTTCTTTGAACGATTTGAGGAGCGCAGCACGGTCACTGCAAATGTACTGCGTCGTGCCGTCAGATATAAATCGGAAGTTCTTGACCACGAGTTCGCTAAGGGAAATACTGTTGTCGTTGACAAAGAGGACCCTGTTTCTAATGGGGAGATGATGGCAGTGGTAAACCTGTTGGCATCAGGACGAGTCAAGCTCCGCCCAGGTTCGGACGTGCCAAAGACTCGCTATGGCATAGATCACGAACGTATAGGGTATCGGACCAAGAACATGGACAAGAAACTGTTGGGTTTTAGCGTCGAGCTCACGCCGACGAAGGAATATCTTTTTGGAGATTCCATCCCTAGCGAGTCGCCAGCACGCCGGATCCCTATCCCGCGCGGGGATGCGGATGAGCCACGTGGCACAATCCCGGTGTGGGTCGACATTCATGGAAATGTGCAAATGACACTTTGGCACATGCTTCTTGTTGGCGTGATCGGGCTCGTCTCACAAATGCCGGGCGTGTCGGCCCTGGACATCTCACGGGCTTTCGGATTTGTGCCTGACGAAGTTGAGGTGGAACTCATCATGCAGTGGTGCATACAGTCCGGTTTTGCAAAGATGGATGATAGATCAAAGGGATATCAGACATTGGAGTGGTGGTGGCTGTGCGTTGACAAGGCTGGGACATGAAGCAAGATGTGGTGGGTGAAAGCCGGGATGGGTATTTGTTTGGTGTGCTTTTTTAAGGCTGGTGGGCGGATTCAGTGATACCGCCGACCTTAAGACCTACAGGAGAACATGTATGGTGTTTGAGGGACTCGGGAACATTATGGGCCAGCGGTGATCAGCAATCCATCATCACATCAGGCGTGATGAGCAATGTTTCTCACGGATATGGAATGGCGACTTTGTACCAACATCACATTGATCAAGAAAGAGGGGGGAGAGAGCCCAACGATCTTCCTCACACACGATGACTCCAGATTTTACTTAGGCGGATACATACCTATGTGTGAGGTGTCCATGAATACTCATACTCGATGGACCGAATCCAAGTTCGCCACTGTATTTGGTCTGTCGATACCAGATTCTCGCTGACTTTATGCGGGGGGGGATGACCCGGAGGGATTGGGCCATTGACGGATGTTCCTTTTTAGGAGGAATCAGCCATGCTACTCGCTGTGACATGAAACTTATATGGGAGAAACAAGAGCTGGTCAAGTAATCGGTAGAGGAAATCTAGCTGGGATGGAAGAGGGAGAGTGACTATTAGGGGTGGCTCGATAGTGCCGAGGCCGAGACCACGATTCGCAACGTCCGAGTTAGCTCTTGAACCGCATATATCGCGCTCCGTACCTGCGTGAGAACCTGGAACTTTGGGAGCGTTTTGGTTGTCTTTGCACGTACTGACCACCGAGCACCCTTCTTGAGCAGCTATCCCCCTCCTCTACCACTCCCGACACCTTCCGACCGCGTCCCGGCCACAAACCACCCAATCCCCAACTCACGCGTGTTTGCGTCGTCCGGGTTCTTTCCAACGTGTTTGCGGCTGGCGAAATGGATGTCGTCGTCGCGGTGGAGAGGCTGGTCTGTGTCTCCCGGCCGCACGGAGAAGGCGATTGTGTTGTTCAGCTGTGGGGCCGAGACGTTCAGCTCGGACCGGTTGCCGTGCATTTGTACGCCTTGGTGGTGAAGAGATGATGGCACACTTCTTGATATAGAGGACACCTGATCAACTTCTCGGCCGCGGTGCGTGACTTGCCGCACAGCCCAAAGGCTCGTCTCGTGGTGGGAAGGAAAAACCCCTCGTTCGCCTCCCAGGGTGTGTCGGCCTCGAGGGCCGGCCAGATATCTTTCTCAATCTGCCGTACTTCTTCCTGGGTCAGAGCCCCGCGGACAAAGATGCCGCCCATCTGCTTCAAAGCTTCCACCACATCCTCTGGATCGGCTGCCAGCGTGAATTCAGGAACTGAGCACCGTTCGCGAGGGCTCCATCACTTGTAGTAGCCCTCGTTGAGACGTTCGGAAGTGATGGTGACTCCGCCGTGCTTGACACTGGAAGGAGGGAGTTGTAATGAATTCGGTGCTGCCTTAGTAGTAGTCGTGGTGGGAGCCCTGGTGAAAAATCTCCTCGGGTTCTTGGGCGACAATCGTTCAGTCTAATTAGTCTGATTCTTCATATGACAAGTATGCTGTACCGGTCGTTTCTTTACCGTCAGTTCACCCTCGCCTGTCGATGTTGTTTTAAGAAGATGCGACCCGCCCATCGGCAATCGCGGTTTACACACCCAAAAATGGGAAAGGATCACGGATCTACCTGGAGTTGGGGCGCACAACGGAGACGACAGCCCTTCCAGAATTACTTGTACGCACATGTATTTACTCATCTCGCTTGCCGAAGGTGATAATTTTCAAAGGTCTCCGGTTAAAAGCATGACCAGGCTAAGCCTGAGCAGTATGATGGACCGGGCAAATAGATAGTTTACAGTTCGAGGCGAGAGCAGATAGACAGGATGTGTGCTCTGCCAGTAATCGTTGTCTTGTCACGTTGCTTCCATTTCAACGGATTCGCCTGCGACAAAGTCTCCGGACACAACTGATATTTTAACCGCAACAATGTCGTCTGGTTCCTTCAAGGGTACTTGGTTGGATCGGCCTAGATCGCCGCAAGGACCTCATGATTAATACGTGTTCATTCGCAGGTTACGCCGTCACCTCACCCTCCGACTGGTCCAGTCCCAAGCTCATCGACCATGATCCCGTGCCCTTCGGCAAGCATGAAATGGACGTCAAGATCCAATATTGCGGCGTCTGCGCCAGTGACTTGCTGACTGCCCGCGCTGTGGCAGGGAATGATGGCTGGGTGGGTATTTCCTGGCATTTTTCCTGTCCATCTCCAGTCCGAGACATCAAAGGATGCAACAATAGTTTTGCTGATATGACATACAAAACAGCAGCCAGAAACAATGTATCCAGTCATCCCCGGTCATGAGATCGTGGGCAAGATAGTGCGCATTGGGGAATTGGTTGACACATCCAGATTCCAGATCGGACAGCTGGTTGGGGTGGGAGTTCTTTCAGCAACATGTGGTTCTTGCAGGCTGCGTTACAGCAATCGAGAAAACTATTGTGTACAGTCAATTCCAAAGCCGCATATGCCACATGGGTGAAGTGCTGGAACGATGAGACTGACCTTGCATTACATGTAGCCTGACCTGCTCGAGACATACGACTCCAAATATCCCGACGGATCCATGTCAAATGGCGGCTAAGCCAATTGCAAACGGTGCCATCAAGACTTTGTCTTTCCGATTCCCCCTATTTTGCCGCCCGAACATGCCGCGCCCATTCTCTGCGCAGGCCTGACTGTGTTTAGCCCTTTGATGGCGGCAGATATTGGCCTTGGAAAGAGAGTAGGCGTCGTCGGAATCAGAGGACTGGGCCATTTTGCCGTCTTATTCGCTTCTGCCAGGGGCGCTGAGGTGACGGCGATCTCACACAGACCACGGAAACAGGCAGACGCAGCGAAGATGGGAGCCACCAGTTTCATTGTAACCACAAATGAGGTGGACTGGGCGGAGCAAAACAAAAATTCGCTGGACCTCATCATTTCGACGACATTCGCCAACGATATGCCTTTAAAGAAATACCTTCCGTTGCTCAACGTTGGCAGCCAGTTCGCCTTGGTCGGGTTGGGCGAGCAGAATCTTCCAGAGATTCCTCCGGGTATCCTGGTCAGGGCCAACAAGTCAATCGTGGGTTCCATGATTGGCACCAGCAGACAGATGAGAGAGATCTCGAGTTTGCCGCCGAAAAGAGTATTCGAGCTTGGATCGAGATACTTCCAATGAAGGACGCCTGCGAGGCGTTGCGAAGAGATTGAGTCAAGGTGATTGTTCGTATCGCTTCGTGCTAAAGGCCGATATCTAAATGAATGGTCATGTCACCTGTCGCACTCACATCACACCAGAAACAGATGCATCTGTCTGGCTCTGATCTCGTCCTCCCACAGCCAAAAAGACAGATTATTTTCGTTGTATCCTCGAATCCACCATTGTTTGAGAAAGGTGAGGACTTCTTTGACGTTGCCAATGCCGGACTGACGGAAACGAAGGTCCAGAACCTTGGCAATCATGTCTTGTTAGTCCTGCTGCAAGGCTGCTATGCCAAAGATAAAGAGTGGAAAGATTGCGCATTTTAGAGAAATTTCATGTGAGGCAAGATGCTCCAGATGTGCTAGCCTTTCTTCAAGAGCACTCTGGACCTTTGTGTCAATGATGCCGTACGGATAGGTGGTGAGATAAAGAAAGATGAAGCATGCCCGACGGTAGACTTCGCCCAGGACCATGTCTTCCTGTGAATCGGACTTGATCTTCCGGTTTTGAATCAGTGTACAAAGGTCCAAACTTTTCATGAATTCTTCGGTGTTGACATCTGCGCGATTTCGGTCGACAGAAGTTTAGTCTAACGACAGCTCGGCCAGAGTCTGCCGGCGAAGTTCCACAATATGCGTCAAAATAGAGAGTAAACTATGATAAGTTTGAGGCAGAGGACTGTAGCTCCCGGTTTTCTCGGACGAGTAGACCGGGTCGATCGAGCACGGGCGTTCGTCGAGTGTTACACAAGCGAGCACATCGTAGTAGCGATATAAATCGAGGAAGAAACAGATCACAGTCTTGTCATCTCTCGAATTTGTGGGTATTCCGTCAGCCGCCTTGTTGCTTCAACCTTCCTTGACCCGTTGACGAGCAAGCTCTGACGTGGCGGACAAGTGAAGGCGCCAATGGCCGTCCCTGCCACTGTCAAGGCAGTCCAGTTGTAGAAGTAGGAGAGAACTCGCCAAAGCAGCATCTAATTTGACTTAGACGCTCGAATCCGAAAACGTCAGGACTGACACAGCCACCATTTTCTCCGCGTGACATTTCAGAGCTTTGCCACGCGAGTGCCATCGTGTGCTGATTGATCTCTGTCGTACTTCGCTCACGTCAGAATGGTTTAGGTTCAGCAGATGGGTCGCGGCAATGCTGAGCAGTGTATACAATAGCCCTCGATCGCGAAGAACCAGGGGAATCAAAATAGAGTGAAACGGAGCGCTTCGAATGATGGCCAGCAATCTCTGTGTCTCGGGCATCCTCATCAGGCTCTGCAGCTCTATATGGATGTGGACTTGGTCGATAGATGTGCAGACGGTATACTCGCTCAGGGGTTCTGGATGATAAAATTGCCGTGGTCGTTTGAATAAACTGATTGTTTCGCTGGATTCCTACACCTTCTTTCAACTTGAGGAAGAATCTAAACCACGGTATTCTAGATCCGAGAAGAAAAAGGGAGGATTAGATAGGGGGTGAGCTGGCCACCATACCTCTCCATGGGTTGCCGTAGTTTCTCCTTCCAGTGAGGCACTGCCTGGTGCATCTTGAACATCGGATAGCCGATTCGTTCTTTCAGGTGCCAGCCGGGTGGCAAGGAGAGAAAGCAAGCTTTCCTAAAGAATTCAAGGTTTGCTCAGCTCTACGTCCTTTCAGAAAGGTTTGTGGGCAATGAGTTATTTGCATCGCTGAAGCACAGTACTTACAGATAATATATGTCATCCTATCCCTTCAGCAAGACATACACATCCTCATACACGATCAGGCCGGCAATCTCCAAAGGATGCCGGTCAACGGTTCCTGTACTCGATAGGATTCTCCCAGTGAGGGTATATGGAGATAATCGCCTTTGACTTTGAACATATCCGGGTATCGAGTAGCAATTTAATGAACAATAACCTCCAAGGCCTCCTTGCTTGCCTCATAGGTGCCGTCTTGGTGTTGAAAGACGATGGCGCAAACCTCTGGATCTTGTAACCTCCTCAACTTTTGTTTATGCTCGTCGAGAAAAAGGTTGTCGTATATGATCTAATCGTCAACATTGAGCCTGCGAATTCCCATAGTCATTTGCCATTGTCCAGGCTTCCAAGCCTGCGGCCATGATGGTTCATCGTGGAGTGGCAGGCCTTTGTGAGGGGTGATTTGCCATAGTCCAGTGCTGCTACTCTGGTCAATTTGAGTGATGTAGCCTTTGGAGCGAGACACGAATGTGTTACTGGGTGTACTTGGTCGTGAACTCGTTTCTTGAATTTGGACAGTCCCCATGCTACAACACACAAGGCGACAGAAAGACACCTAACACAAACCCTGAATGTGTTAAAATGCATCTCACGGCTTCTTTAGAAGGCGAAAATAGAAAGAGGAAGCGGGCTTGAAATTGACAATATCGCCATCATCAGCTCAGCGTGGGAACACTCTTGGTTTAGTTATGTTTTAATGAAGCCTCCCTGACTCGCCGAATCGACACCCCTATCAGCGCAGAGGCAGCCTGACTATCCAATTATACCGAGAAGACTCTGAATCTGGAAGCACAAAGAGTGTATTGAGCTTTGCCTGGCCAGAATGGTCGACAGATCGACTGAAACGCGTGGACAACGAAGGGCCCACATCTCCCACCCTTGTCACTTACCAGTGGCGTGCTTCCTTGGAGCTACACAGGCTCGCGTGGCACAAGAGGTTACAATGCCTACTTAGGGAAAGTCGAGGAAGGTCCAACACAAGCTATGCCATTAAGCTTTGACCCAGATCGTCGTTCAGGTACAACCATTCAAGTCAGAGCCGACAAATAATAGGTTCCAAAATGCGGCCAATAAGGGGTCTTCTATGTGCAGATAAGGAGAAGCCTGCCACGATACGAAAGCGGAGAGCAAAGCATCCAAAATCTGGCGGCTCTGGCGGCTCGCACGCGTCGCTGCTACAAAATAGGCCTAGATAAAAACCGACCGTCGTACGCCTTCTGCGGGTTGCCGACTTACCATTGGCAAGCCTCCAATCCTCGGTGCTACTTGTAAATGGGCACCATGTCTATCCGAACCCTGAATAAGTGACACCCGGCTTGCCAGTATTGATTAAGGCAGTTGAGGTAGTTGCAAGATATGTTGTCGTTAATATCAACGGGTTCTATTCTAGGCATTCGAATAGGGCTAAATAGAAGTTTAGTTATCATTGCAATCCGTGAGCAGAGAGTCTCCCGCCAATATATATTATCCATTCATCTATACCGCTAGGATCGAGGTTGTCTCAGCTACTGTCGACTGACTGATCTAGGACTACACCTCTTTGACATACACACCCTCCTGCTTAAGTTGCGGTGAGGCCTCCCACAACGTCCAAAACAGAGAATATCACCGAGACAAAATATGTCACGTCCAACGAACTCAATACCACGGACGCCAGCAGAACGAGCATCAGCAGAGGAGTCATCGACGTCATTGACAAGAATGTTCTCCGCGTCCAAGGCCATGAGGATGCTATGCCGCGGACCTTCTCCAGATTGTTCCTCCATTGCTCTGGGCTTTGGGTTCGTGTTGTCCTTGTCTCGGCCTTCCTGCGATTTGTAGACTCATTCCGATTCAAGCTAAACACGCGCTACTGATATAGCATAACCAACAGTTGGATTGCATATCTCAGCAACTATGGAATCAACGCAGCGTTCGGTAGCAGAGTCAATGTCATTTTCTGCGCCCTCATGGCAGCCTTTGTCCAATGGTTCATCACTTGCGGCCTATCTGAAATTGCGTCGGCATTCCCTTCACCAGAGTAAGTCTTCCCTAGTTGCGATTACATACAGCTACCGCTCCGTGATATTTGGACTGCAAACTGACCTTTACCTATGCACAGGGGCAATACCATTTCGTCTGTGTTGTTGCCAGCGGTTCCCCAAGACGCTTTGGGGCCTAATCATCGGCTGGATGACGATGCTTGGATGGTGGATCATCGCCTGCTCTGGCACTGCTCTTTCGGCTGTTTCAATCATGGGTCTAGCTAACTTTTGGCATCCAGAGTTTGTTGCAACGCAATAGCAGATTTGGCTAGTATATGTTGGTGTGGTCCCAATCACGGGTTGGTACAATGCTGTCCAAACGGCCGAAGCCAGTCTAACCAATGGTCCATCCTCAGTCGCTCCGTTCATCATCTTCCCTAAGATCATCACTCATGTGGCGCAGTTTGTGCTGTTCATGTCCATCACTGGGTTCGTCATATATTTATCATCCTTCACGCAATGAAGAAAAGTTTTGTGTAAACTAGTTCTCGAAGAAGGAACTCGCTTGAGTGGGGAGGTGACTCGGCCGCTGGATTGACCTTGGCCTTTGACTGGGCTGATTGATAATAATTAGTATTTGGAAATAGACCACTGTTGAAGCTGACTGGGGATGAGGTTTCGTCCGATGAGGTTGCCGCTCTAGCCCCCACGCAACCTCACGGGGCACACAAGATGCGGCCCTGTGGGGGTGAAAATAGGGCGGCATCACCCTAATCCAGGAGCGGTAAATGGGTGTCTCCAAGTCTGCAATCTACTCGGTATTGACTGCGTTGTTGGCGATTCACCTCAGGGCCAATTGACAGCCGCTTATGATCCTGGCCTCTCGAGGCTGAGGGTTCGTCCTGCAACAAGCACGCCAGGTTGATTTTCACGACTTGTCCTCCGTTGGCCTGCCGAATACCTGACACTTACCACCGTTGCCTTGCCGTGGGAGATGATTTGCGAATGTGCTGCCCCTCCATCAGATCGCAACCACGACTTCTCAAACCACCCTCACAATGTCTTATATTGTACCAATCCACCCTCCAAGCGGTGTACGCCATGCCATCAAGTTGAATTTCCTAGATCCTACCATTGACACATTAATTGTCTCGTGAGTATTCTTTCAACCACTGGGTCACCCGCAAGCTGTGCGCTAAATGTATGTTCTAGGAAAGCAAACCGACTCCAAATATTCGAGCAAGGGCCGGAAGGCTTGACCCTGCTGCACACGAAGACT